AAAAAACAAGAACACAAATTCAAAAAAGGTACATGCACCCCAATGTTCATAGCAGCATTATTTACAATTGTCAAGATATGGAAGCAACCTAAGTGTCCATCAACAGATGAATGGATTACAAAGATATGGCATATATACAATGGAATACTACTCAGCCATAAAAAAGAACAAAATTTTGTCATTTGCAGTGACATGGATGAACTTGGTGGGTATTATGCTAAGTGAAATAAGTCAGATAAAGAAATACAAATACTGTATATCACTTATACGTGGAATCTGAGAAATACAACAAACTAGTGAATATATCAAAAAAGAAGCAGACTCACAGATACAGAGCGCAAACTAATAATTATCTATGTCTAGGACAGGGGAGGCGAGGAGGAGGTAGGGGAGTGGAAGGTACAAATTGTTGGATGTAAGATAAGCTATGAGAATGGCTTATAGGAGGAGGGTGTAGCTCAGTGGTAGAGTGCATGCCCAGCATGCATGAGGTCCTGGGTTCAATCCCCAGTAACCCCATTAAAAAAAAAATGAACAAGCCCAGTTACCTCTCTTCCAATAAACTAGTTAATTAAACAATAAAAATTCTTTTAAATATATTTTTAAAAGAAATGTGCTCTACAACACATGGAATATAAGCAATATTTTGTAATAACAGAAAATGGAGTGTAACCTTTAAAAATTATATAAAAAATTAAATATTTTAAAAAGACAATGAAGATAAAATAACAAAATTTAGCAAGGATAATTCTAGAGTAGGGGTCAGCAAACTACAGCCCATGGGACAGATCTGACCCATTGCCTGTTTTTGTGTGGCTTGGAAACTAAGAATAGTTTTTACATTTTTAAATGGTTGGAAAAAAACCCAAAAGAATAACATTGTGCGAGATGTGAAAATTATATGAAATTCAAATTTCAGTGTTCACAAAGCTTTTTTGGAACACAGTCATGCTCATGGTTTATGGCTGCTTTCATACTACAAGGGCAGAGTTGAATAGTCATAAGATACTACAGAGTCTGCAAAACCTAAAATAATTACTCACTGGCCCCTTACAGTAAAAAACAATTGCCGATCTCTGATCTAGAGAACTAATGACCCAGTTTCTTCAACAAAAACGACAACAATAACAATAAAATGCAAAGGGGAAAAAAAGAGATGAAAGGAAGAACCAATCGTTTAAAAGACTTGAGACATATTTACTATCAAAATATATTCTTTGGATCCCTACTAAAAAAAATGTACATAAAATCAGAAATGGGTGCAGTGGCAAAGATATTTGATGACATTAAAGAATTGTTCGTTTTTAAAAGCATGGTAATACTTTGTGGTTGTATTTTAAGAAGAGTTCTTAACTTTTAGAGAGACATTCTGAAATATTTACAGATATCTGGATTTGCCTCAGAATAATCAGAGGAATAGGAGTTATTGGGTGTGGGTGTGAGTGAAATAAGACTGGCCATATTATGAAAATTTTGACTGGAAGATGCGTGCCTGGTGGTTCATCATACTATTTTACTATTTTCTCTACTTTCATGTATGTTTTAAAATCTACATTATAGAGTTAAAAATGAATCTATTTCAAAATAAAAGTCAGTTCAAGGACCATTTCTTCTGGCCCTTGTAGTCTAATGCCTCTTTCCTATGCTTCTGCAGAAACATGGAACTTGCCACATTGGTTGTTACTGATAAGTGGTTGCTTGATTCTCCCAGACTATCAATCCCTGAGGGTGGGGACCATGTGTTATTTGACTTTGATTCACAGAAACTGGCACATAACCTGGTACATATTAGATCCTTAATAAATATATTAGGAACAAAAAGGAAAAAGAAAAAGAAAAGAGCATAAGTTAACTGTGGGACAACCACAGCAGCCTAATGTGCATGTTATTGGAGTCCCCAAAGGAAGGGAGGAGACAGCAAAATATTTAAAGATATAATGGATAAAATAGTTCCAAATTTGATGAAAACCATAGACATATATATTTATCCAAGAAACTTAACAAACCTCAAGCACACAAAAAAAGTATTTTACCACACAATGCAAACAAATTTAGAGTAGACTATACAACCATTAAAGTTGCCAAGATAAGGAGATAACGCCCAAAATCCAATTGAAAATAGACAGTTAAGAGCTCTTATGTTGGAGGTCAAGCAAAGTGAGAAAACTCCATCCAATCAATTAAAAAATAGATGAGGCTTTTTATATAAAGGAAGAAGCAACCGGAAGAGTCAGAGATAAATTTACATACCAGACCATAATGTAGAATAAAGTCAAGATGAAATCCACAAAAAAAGGAGGACTTAAATGCAACATATAATATTGATGACAAAACTACCTCATATATTAATGGTAATAGAACAATGTCTCTATTCCCTTACCTGTTTCTCAGATTTAGATCTTATTTTCAGTTGCCCCTGGTCCCAAAATTTCTTAACTCCATACTTTCACCTGATTACCTCGCTACCCACATCACCCCATCTCACTCCTGAACTCTAACCCCTTCATTGTGTATATGTCAATCTCCATTAATGTACCCACTGCCTTCCACCAGTCCACGTTGTTCTCACCTATGATTCCTCAGGCTTCCTCAAAACCAATCACCAAATCCTGTGGATTTTACCACTGAAATATCCTTTGTATCAGGTACCTTTCTCCCATTCCCTCTATTCTCACTACTTCAAGCCTTCATCATTTCTTTTATTTTTATTTAATATGAATCTTTTACTAAGTAAAGCATACACACAGAAAAATGAACAAATCATGTGTACAACTTAAAAATTTTAACAAAGTGAATACATCTATTTCACCACCACCCAGATTAATATACTGAATTTTTCCATTACCGTAGGATGACTCGTTGGTGTCACCTCACAATAATTACCTGTGTCCCCAAAAGGTATCCACTATTCTGAAAGCTAACGCTGCAAATTTTGCCTGTCTTTTGAACTTCATACAAGTAAAACTATACGATGTACAGTCTCATACCTGGCTTCTTTAGCTCTACATTATTGTTGCAAAGTTCATCCTTGTTACTGGAAGTAGCCATAATATGCATATTTCATGGCTGTGTATAAATATACCACAATGTATGTATCCATTTTACGGTTGGCAGGCATATGCGTTGTTTCTACTCTGGGGCTATTTATTCATAAAGTTACCATGAATATGCTTATAAATGTTTCCTGGCAAATGAATACACACATTTGTATTGGATACAAAACCAGGAGTAGAATTGTTAAGTCAGAGGGTATGCCGAAGTTCAGCATAAGTAGACACTGCCTAACAATTTTCCAAAACGGTTGTTTAATATGTTACATTCCTACTAATGATGTGTGAGAATTTCAATTGTTTCACGTCCGTCAAAGCACTTGGCATTGTCCATTTTTAAAGTTTTACCCATTCTGGTACAACTATTAAATATTTTATTGTTTCAATATTTATTGAAAAATTCCTTTCCTTTCCTGATTTGTTTGATTTGCCTTATCTTAAGCCTTATGTAAAGGAATCAGAAACTGGGTTCAACCATGTTATTGCATGTGTGGATAGTTCCTTCACTTCACTGCTGAGTATTCATTTGTATGACTGAAACGTGATTTGTTTATCCATTCACCTGTTGAAAGATATTTGGATTTTTTTCAACTTATGGACTATTGTAAATAAAGCTACTATAAATATTCTTGTACACATTTTTTGTAGATGTATATATTTTTAGCTCCCTTACTTTCCTAGAAGTGGAATAAAATTGCTGAGGATAGGATAGGTGTATGTGTAATTTTATAAAAAATTGCTAAGCAGTTTTTCAAAGTTTTGTAACATTTTATGTTTCCATCATCAATGGGTGAGCATTCCATTTGCCACACATCCCCTCCAACACTTGATATTGTCGATCTTTTAAATATTGAGATGTATTTCCATTTCAGTGACTTTTCCTTTAGTTTTTAATTAAAAACTACTATGATCTTAACCATCTTTAAAAGTAAATGAGAAATATAGACCTGTCCTGGAGAAGAACATAATCTAAATGAGAAGAAAAGTCATATCTAAATCAATTAGACAGCAATTCTAAGACATTATGTAAGTATCATGATAGCCCCTTATAGGATGATAGTAAATATCAAACAAACTTTTTTGTGAATGTACCCCAACACTACAAGAATGAACATACAGTTGGTCCCCCTCACACATCCTTCCCAACCCTCCTCATCAAGGCTGGGGACATGGTACAAACTTCAAAATTCATTTGAGGTTTAATATTTCATTGCAATTTTTTGCCAAAACTCTCAAATACAACCATGTTGTTTCCATATAAAATATTTTTATCACTGATCTTTGAGTACAATTGATAACCCAAAATTGTGTGACATTTTTATCTCATATTAATCTGCTCTTCCAAGCATATTTGTAAGTCTGTGTACCTCAAGTTAAGAAGCACAGTTGCAAGCGGTGAGTATATCTTGGATTTTCTTGCACCATCTTAATGTCCATTTTTGGAGCAAAATAATTTCACATTAGAAATATTTTCAAACTGTTTCGAAAGACTTTTTTTTATATCACAGGTTTCTTGAGAAAAAAACAGCTACTTTCTTAATATTGAAATGTCATACTTTGAAGGGACAGATTAAGTG